CTTATCAATGTGAATGTTAACATGTCAATGTGAATATTCACATTGACATGTTAACATTCACATTGATAACAGTATAAAATTGGCCAGCGGCCCAGGGCGGGCCCGACCCGGCCCGTTGACAATGTAAATATTCGCATTGACATGTTTTAACATTCACATTAATAGGAGTGTAAAATTAGCCCACGCCTCGTGGCTGCCCAAAATCCGCACACGGCCCGTGGGCGGACCCTGCCCGGCTTGGCCTGTTGACAATGTGAATATTCACATTGACATGTTAAAATGCACATTGATAGGAATATAGAATTGGCCCGCAGCCTGTGGGCTGCCCAAAGCTCGCCCACGGCCCGGGGAAGGCTCGTTTCGGTCCAGGCCCGAGCATGTCCGAGACCCTAGGTTAGGGCCTAGGTCATCACTTTGAAACTCAGCCCGGCCTATCAGCCCGCTTAAGGCCCATTCAAGGCTCAGTCCGAGACCCAGCCCGCCCGAAACGCAATGTATTTTTTTGTGAAAAATAATAAAATTTTGGTAGAAAAAATTTAAAAAAAATGGCCAAGCCCGACCTAAGCTCGAGGTTAGGCCCAGGCCTACCGGCCCGACCTGAGGCTTGATCCATCGGCCCGTCCAAAGCCCGAATACCCTTGTGCCAGGGCTAGGGTCTAGGCCTAATTTTTTGGCCCGTTGGCCGGGCCAGGCCGGCCCAGATTTTTTCGAACACCCACGAGGCTCGATATGGGCTACGCATTGATGATATAAACATTCACATTGACGATGTGAACATTCACATTATGGGTATTTTGATAATTATGTCTCCCATAGGACTTATTGAAACATAAGAAAATAATGTGAATTAAATGGAACATAAGTAGATGAAAAAGGTATTTTGGTCTTCTTATCTCAAATTGGACCTAATGGAATAGTCAAAAAGAATATGAGTTTGATAGAATAAAACTCTTAGAAAATAGATTTATCAAAAAAGCTCCCAAAAATTTATCCCCAATAAAGCCTTATGTAATAACTACAAATCGATTAGTAATTTTGGGTTGTGAGTGGTTTAGTTTTCAAATTAATTCTTGAGAGATCAAAACTCAAAATTTGTTTGATTTACAATTGTCTCAAAATTATTTTTAATCACTTTTTTCTGTCTTCTCTTCCATTCTCTTACATCCTACACATCAATTATTTTTTCTCTTTCATCTCTGATTCTTTCACATCTTACACATCAATCAATTACTTTTTCTCTCACACACATCAATTTAATTACAAAGAATTTACAAATCATCACAAACTACAAAACCATCTCTTAAATATACAACTAAATAAATTTTTAAATTTTAAAAACTCTTTTCAAAATTTTATCTTTTAAAATTAATTTCAAGTCAAAATCAAATCAAACCAAACCAAACCAAACCAAGCCGACGCTTGCTTTTTTGTATTTGGTTTTGTTTTGTTTCGTTTTTTTAAAACAACAATGATTTAGACCATTAAAAAATACACCACTAATAGTACTAATACATTGGAAATGGTAAATAAATAAATAAATAAATAAAAACAAAGCATAGAAAGTGAGCGGAACCCACTGTCACATCATTAGTGCTCTTTCTAGTGATCTTTTTTTAGTTCTCCCAAACATTTTTCTTTTTAAAATCCTTGATAACCAAATAAAAAGATATCTAGGGAGTCGGGCAACGTCGGGGCGGCGCTGGATTGTTGACACGGGTGGGATCCAAAATTAGGAACCCGGAGCCATACTCGGACTCGGCTGCGGCGGCGAAAGAAAGGAAAACCCTTATTCGCTTTACAAGGTAAACCCTAATTTAGCCTGCACATTACATTTTTACAATTACGAATTACTTTAGCTTATTAGAGAGATTACAATTGCCATTTTGTGGATGAAATTAATTTCATTTTTTAATATATTTGAACCTATCAGTTTTTCTTTTCTCTTGTTTTTTTTTTTTTAATTTACAAAAAAAAAAAAAATGTTTTCAGTTTGTGATTGTATTTCTATCCCACAACAGCTTTGTCATTCTGTCAAGAAAATGCTGAACTTATACACATATATGGTAATTTAATGCAATGGAAATTCAATTGAGATGAGACTAATTAGAGAATCCATACTCTTCTTGATATTGTTGTTCTGTTTGCTTTTATTTTGCTTCAAACAAGGCAGTTCCCATGTAGACAAGATTTGAGTTTGCAAAACTATTCAACTTGGGCAAGTTGAGTTCTGCTTGGGAATATGTTTGAAACTAAGAACAACTTTTATGTATGTAATCACATCTGTCATAGTGGGGAGAGGGGACAAGTGTCAATCATGGTGATGTTTCCAATTCTCTGTGTTATTATTATTAATATTATTTTCCGTAGACCATTGGATGTGCATACCCATTTTAGGGGTATACATGTCGTCCATAACTAGGATATACGCAGTTTTTTGGAAATAGGTTTCAACCGGCAATTGACCTGCCTTGGTTGGAACCTTACCTATCCTCTTTTGAAAACATATCCCAATATCCTAAAGGCCTGACACTTGGACACATGCCCATACTAGATACTCGTACTTAACAAACATAGATTGACAAACATAGATTGACACGTTTCGGTTGGAACCTCACTAGCTACATGATTGCCGCAAGCACAAAGATAAGATCCTGCATTGCTTTAGATAGAAATCTTAGAGCTTCATAATTACTTTATAGAGGAGGATTTATGTCATTTTGCTGGATAATTAAGTAACTCTGGTTGCTCAGCCTTTGCTGCAAAAAGTGTCTCTTCATGGGGAGAGAGAGCTTCTGATGGAGCAGGGACTCATTGCCCACAACGTTAGTTTCTTCCATTCCTGGTCTTCGGATTCAGCTGAACTTTTAGCTTTTCACAACTTCATTTATATCTTCGTGTTTGTCTCCCTCCCTCTGTGGACAGCTTTTATTTTTTTCTTGTTTACATCTTTTCAAAATGTTATTCTTTTGGGTAAATTACAATGACTTTTGCTGAGGTTTGAAAAAATTACGCTTAGCCCCACAATTCTAACATAATTACTCTGTGTTCCCCTAAAATAAAATTTGCATAACATTTTATCCCAAGCCGGTAGTCTAATGGATGTAAAGTGATGAAATCAACATCTTTAAACTTAAATGTCTATTATACCCTTATCATCCTTGTTCCCAACCAACATCCACAATCCATGTTTCAACCCAAAGAGAGAGATGAAAGAGAAGCCATGAGGCAGCGTGCTGTGGTTGATCATGAAGGTTGTGGCGATGTGTGATCAAGATGGCTGTCTGTGAATGTGGCTAGTTCATTGTTGTTCGTAGCAGAGGTGGGTGATGAGGAGACGGTGGTGTATGATTGTGGTGCTGGCGACGACAACGTGTGTTGAAGATGGAGGTGGCGTGCGGTAGAGATGGAAGTGATAGCGACATACACCCATGGTGGAAAGCTCGTCGGAGGCTATGTTGTGGTGGATCTGAAAACATGGAGAAGATGAGGAGGAGGAGGCAGAGGGAAGGAAGGGGATCTTGGAGAAAATGAAGGCTGAGGAACTGAAGGGATGAAACCGTTGGGTTATGGTTAGTTGGCTAGTTCTAACTTTTTGGTATTGATGCAAGGGTAGAAATGTAATATCATAAATTTTGTTTTTGTCTGTTTGTCTTCCAGTTAAGGGAGGTTTTGTAATTATTGCAAAACTATGGGTCTCGCTGTATTGTGCACAAACCTCAGGAGAGGTCAATGTAATTTACCCTATTCTTTTGACTCAGTTGTTCTTTTGTTAGCACATATTCCCCACTGTGTATTAGAGAATGTTTGAATATTTGAGAACCATTTACTTGTTTTCATCGGTAAAAGAAGCAACTATGAAGTGCGGAGTTTAGCGGCCTGTGCCTTTGTCACTTACATACTTTTTAGCACAAATACTGGGATGTTTTATTAATTATATATCATTTTCAATAGTTCAAATTATGAGCTCCTAGGCTATCGATGTTTATATCAACTTTATGAATACGTCTTTGAAAGCCCTGGTATAATCTCCCCTTTTTCCTCCCTCTCCTGCCTTGTTACCAAAAAATAAAGTAGGGAATGCTCTAATTTGAGTTGGATTTATGAATGCACTGACTGAAGTAGTGGCACACAATCAATGTTCTTGATTGAGATCTTTAAACTTGGCTTCGAGATGTTAGTCTTTATTTACTCTTGAGAAAAGTTATCACTGGAGTTCCTTTTTCTACGTCGATTAGCTTTGTACTCCAAGAGAAACACTAACATGGAAATATATTGTTGCAGAAGAGAATCTGTCATGGCTCTCTCCTTGGATCTGCAGGATTTCATTCTCCGTGCTCGGGTGCTGAAGCTGTACAGGTTGGCACTGAGGACTGCTAGAAGAGCTCCAGATCATTCGAGAGGTAGCTTCTGATGCAGAATAATCTCTCATAATTAGTTTTTTGTATTTGAAAGAAGCAAAGTAGATAGGAGTTTAGCAACTGATGGAACTCACAGGATGTTCTGACCAAATTAGTACTTGTTCTGAGTCTTCCGACTTTTTTCACACCATCATTTCCTGTTTGTTTGTGAACTTGTTTGAATGTTTTTAGTCTTCGTTTTAAATCTTGAAGAGATTGTCTAATATGAAATTTGAAAACAAAATCGTTGGAAATCAAATATTAAACTTGTCTATTGCACTGGTAACCCTTTGGATCTTTTCAAACTTTGGTTTGGATATCACCATGCATAATTTATTATCACAGGTTTCCTCAATTTGTTTTATTTCTGTTGAGAAACAATTAATCCATTTTTGTGACATATTATAACCCTTCACATCCTCCTTCATACCCTCTGTTGATCTTGCTTATCCAATTTGTTAACATTGTATATCCATATTTTTTACAATTGTTCTCCTTATATCACATTTTCCATGTTGGTTTGGGTTTTCACTCAAAAAATCTGGGAGCCATGCTCCAAACTTATGACTGTAATTGTGATTGATTATCTTTTATTTTCTGAGTTCACGTAACTTCATGATCTGAATTTATGTCATTGGTGCAAGTCTAATGGCATTTGTTTTAACTGTGATGGATACAGCTGAACTGACACAGACGATTAGACAAGAGATGGAGAATAATCGGAATTGCCGTGACAAGCAGAGGATTCGTTTCTTGATTAGCGAAGGATTGGGAAAATTGAAAGGTTTGGATGAGATGCTTGATATGCAAGGTCATTGATAATGTAATGTAATGGGATTTTATCTAAAATATGTTATGAGAATTTTGCCCTTTTCCGAAATCTTGTTGAAGATGAATATTTATCACAAATTCAACCGCAACAATTCATGTAAAGTTGTACCAAAAGATACATTTGTTATTCATAGTTACAACCAAAAAACAAGGTCAATTCCTTAGCAAATACGCTTCCCAAGCTTCTTTTCAATGATGCTTAAGCAAAGACTGGAACCTTTCCGAATTGCATGTCGTGTATTTCTCCCTTCAGCATTGCATCACCATTTTCATCGGATTGTTGCTGCCATTAATCCACTTCGGATATCAGAATCACTTCGTTCACAGTGTGTGCTAACAAGAGTATCTCTCTACTTAGCAAGCAGTTTGAAGATTTGAAAATGGAAACCCTGAACCAGAAAACCGTTGGGTTATGGTTAGTGCTGGGGAAGGTGGGGGTAATTAGGATAATTGGTGCATTCTGCCCAAGACAGGGAGGTTGTGATCCACATAGGAGGTGCCATTTAAGCGCCCTAAATCTTTATATCTCCTTTATTCTGTTACATTTTCCCTTTTTCTCCCAACAAAATTCCTGCAATTTGTCACTATAAATATTTAATTTTGTTAAATCTTCTCTTATAAATTTTATGCTATTGCTCTCTCAAGTTTCATGGTTTTTCTCTACCCGTGTCTATATACATATATTTTTTTGTATGTGTTTGTTTTGGTGTGATTTTGTCGTCAATTTTAATGGAGGCATGTGATTACTTTTTTTAATTTAACTCTGGCATCACACTCATTTTTGGTCCTTCTATCACCAAATGAAAATCAGATTAGGGACTCAACTCAACATTGCCCCACATGATCACTTTGCAGCTTGAGCAAGGACTCAAATTTTGGAGGCAGTGGATTTGTGAAGTAAATAGAAGATTGTGCAACATTATTGCCTAAGAACCCCATTTGATCACCCTCGTTATAAGCCCTTATCCAATTTTGGGTTGTCTAACCTCAAAACTCTTGGATTGCATAAAAGGATCCTAGTGATTGAACTAGACTGCTTCATCTTGGGTGCTTTTCTGATAAAGTTGACACAACAACAAATTATTATTATTATTATTATTATTATAGGAAACCATGACAACATTCAATGGCAGAGAACAATGGGTATTTGAACTATAGTAAACATTTTTTTTTTCTTCCAAAACTGGTGAATGAAAATTTTCTGAAATACATTACCAAAATTTCTAAATCCAAGCTATCATAGAACAAACAAATTTGCCATAAATTAACTTCTTCATATGCTACAGGAGGTGCTCAGTAGAGCAGCAGTCCCATGTGAACGTGTGACTCTGAACTGTTGGGCATTGTCACAGGGACATACAATAACTTTCAGATATGTTGGTGACGACTACCAAGATTACGCTCCTTCTATAATGGTCGAGTAACAAAACCTCTATCCACCATTTTCTCTACCAATTCCTCATGCTTCTTTATCTGGCCTGCCTTCCTCAACTCTTGCAAAACCATTTGATAAACTGATAGACCAGGTTTTAAACGCTTCTCCTCAATCATCTCTCTGAAGAACTTATAAGCATTGTTCCAATGCCCCATCGCACAAAACATTGAGATTAAAACCCGGTAAGTATTCTCATTAGGCTCAATTTCCTTCTCATCCATTTCCTTCTTAAGCTTGAGAACCATGTCAGTTGATTTCGAATCAACAAACATCCGCATCAATACATTGTAAGTCACCGTGTTGGGCTTACATTTCAACTCCTTCATCCTCACAAACATCCTATGAGCAGCATTCACATCCTTGGCCTTCAAAATGCACCTAAAGATTGGATTGAAGGTATGTGCATTCGGAACACACCCTTTCTTGACCATTGTGTCAAGAATCTTAACCGCTTCCCCACAATTCTCGTCTTTGCAATGACTCTCAATGAGAAAATTATATGTGACCGTATCAGCCGGACAAGAAAGCCTCTTCATCTGATTATACACTTGCAAAACCTTCTCAGTCCTCCCAGCCTTCACATGAACCCTCATCAAATTGTTAAAAGTGATAGAATTCGGTTCACACCCAACATCAATCATCTCTGCGAAAACATCATGGGCACGCGTAATCTGCCCACATCGACACAACGCATCGATCACAATAGTGTAAGTATACACATTGGGCTTAATCCCAAGATTCTTCATTTCACCAAACACCTTCTCTGCTTCAGCTATGTCCCCTGCTCTGCACCACCCATTAACTAAACTAGTGTACACAATAACATCAGGTTCAAATTTCTCTTTCAAGCTATCAAAAAAAGATTGGGCTTCAAATGCTCTTCTCTTCTTACAGAGAATACTAATCACGATCGAGAACGCGATTCGATCGGGCTCACAACCATAATCTTCCATTCGATTAAACGCGTGAACGGCCTCAGAGGCCAATCCAGCACGAACATAGCGCCGAATCAAAATAGAGAATGTGTCAATTTGAATTTCAATGTTTCGCGATTTCATCGAATCGATCAAGTTCCAAGCTATGTCGAATTGGCGTACCTTTCCGGCGAGGTCGATCATCTCGTTGTAGAGTTCGGGGGAGGGGTTGAAATCGTCTGAGTTCGTCGCCCAGTTGAAGAAAGCTAGGGTTTGTAAAAAGGGGATGCCGTGGCGGACGCCGCCGCATTTCTCGACGACGCGGCGGACGAGGGCAGCGGAGAGGGGTTCTGCGGCAGCGGAGGAGGAGAAGTCGAAGGAGAGAGATGGGATGGTGAAGTTGGGGCTGGGGTTAGGGTTTGGGTCGAGGTTTTTGCGGTGGTGGTCTTTGATTAGGGAGTGAAATTTGTCGGCGATTAGGGTTTCTGAAGGAGACAGTGCTTCGACGACGTCGTGTTGAGGATTTTCTGATGAGGGAGGTGAGGAAGAAGAGGAAAATGAGTGGAAGATGAAGGTAGGGCTAGAGAGAGGAGAGAGAAGATGATGAGTAGGAAGGTATAAGCGTAGCTTTGATTTCATGATCGCCATTGATGGCTTCTTTCGATGCCCTTTCTGTTTTTAGCCGTTAAAACCCTGAAAAGTTCAAGCCAGGGTTTTTCTTTCTTTTTCGGTACATTGGAATAAAAAGCGAGGGTTTAACACTCTCCGAACAAAGAGCATGATTAAAATTATAAAAAAAAAAAATTAAAAATTAATGCAATAATAATAAGGGCAAATTACATATACACCCCTCGAGGTTTGGCTAAATTACAAATACCCCTGAGGTTTGAGAAATTACAAATTTCCCCTGAATGCTATATTTACATAAGAAATTAGAGGGTAATTTGTTATGAAATATAAACCTCAGGGGGTAAATTGTTATGAAAATACAAACCTCAGGGGGCGGGATGTAATTTCCGAAACCTCAGGGGGTATCTGTAATTTTACCAAACCTCGAGGGGTGTATATGTAATTTGCCCTAATAATAAATATAAATTATTAGAGCACCCACAATAAACTTTTCAATTTTTTAATCAAATTAAAGCTATTTCATTATTTTAGTTACTCATTTTTTATCATTTACTGCATTAAACTCTTTATTTTAACTTATTCTTATTAAATATTATTTTCTTATTGTATTTGTTAATCTTTCTTTTTTTTTATTAAATTGATAAGTTACTAGTCAAATAATTTTTAAAAAAAGTAAAAAAAAAAAAAATGCCGTTGACCGGCCAAACTTCCGGACAGACATCCGATAACACACAAGTAGCGATGAACAATGTCTTGCTTGTTATAACGAGTTACTGTAGCCATCGTAAATTTTGACGAGCTATAAGCGAGCTTGATGGAATTGATTTTTTTGAAGTTTTTAGCTAAAAAATGAAATTGAAGAGTTTGATGCAGATGCTCTTAGAAGCATGTTGAAATTAATTTTTTAATTTTTTTTAACAAGACGTGTAAAAAAATAAAGAGATGATACGATTCAAAAAAATTTTAAAAAATATTTTTTTTAACTTTTAACTCAATTACCAAATAGGCATAAATTTGTTAAAATTACATTTACAAATGCTAATTCGTTTGCTAACTCGTAAAAATTACATTTACAAATACTAATAATTGTTCTCAAAAAATTGTTTAATGTTGGAATTGAGTTTAAAATTATTTAACAAATAGTTGAAGAGATCTTCTATTTACTCATACTTTAGCCCCTCCCACTTCTCTAAACCCCCAAGTGGCTAAATTAATTCCCTTAATTTTCTCTTTGAACTCCTACCATAATACTAATAATAACCCTCATCCTTACACCCCCAACTCAGCAAACCCTAACTCTACCACATTCCTTAACCACCACCTCAGGCAACTACAACTGCCATCTCCGACTCCAACATACAAACCCCCCTCACCGACAACCTATCTCCAGCGATCTCCTTCACAGCCGCCACCTATAAACCCTAACACTAATGTCCTAAACCCTAACCCTAACCCTAACCTAACCTTTCTACCCCATCGCCGACCGTTCATCTTCTTCGATCAACAACGTCCTTCTTTAGCAACCCCACCACTGCGACCTACTTCTCAATCCCTTTGTCACGCTTTTCAAAGCCCTCATATTTGTCGGTTTCGCAAGGGCTATGACGGCGACTAAGGAGGAAAAATGGTAGAAACCCTAGATCTATTGAGATCAAAAAAGAAAGAAGAGAGGGCTCACGACACTGTATAAGGCGCGCACGCGTACTAGAGAGAGATAGAGAGAAAGAGAGTGAATGAGATGGGTTGGAAAGGTGATCTTCTCTCTTTCTTCCTCTGTTTCTGTGATTCTAGAAAGGCGACGACAGAGGAGCGACAAGGCTAGGAAGGCGATGGCGATGGCGATGGCGGTAGAAGGGTTGCAAAATGAGATGGAGATAGATTGGGTGCTGGTGATTAGTAGTGAGGGACTGGGTGGCTATGATTGGCGGTGAGGAACTGGGTGGTTACGGCTGGCAGTGAGAAACTGGTTGGCCGTAGGTAGAAGTGGTAGCTGGAGTTGAGAGGGATTAGGGTTAGGGTTTGGGAAATTAGGGTTAGAAGATTATGGGTGAGCGTAAAATGAAATTTTATATTTGGACAAAATTGGAATTAAAAAAATGGAAAAGACGAGAGTTCTAAGAAAAAAAGGAAGGAGCAGATAACAATACTCATAGTTGAAATAGTTATATGACTGGGTGGCTATGATTGGCGGTGAGGAACTGGGTGGTTACGGCTGGCAGTGAGAAACTGGCTGGCCGTGGGTAGAAGTGGTAGCTGGAGTTGAGAGGGATTAGGGTTAGGGTTTGGGAAATTAGGGTTAGAAGATTATGGGTGAGTGTAAAATGAAATTTTATATTTTGACAAAATTGGAATTAAAAAAATGGAAAAGATGAGAGTTCTAAGAAAAAAAGGTAGGAGTAGATAACAATACTCATAGTTGAAATAGTTATATATAAAAAAATCTTAAAAAAAAAGAAGAAGGATAAATTACACTGACATTTCCTATGGTTTAATGAAATTATAATTTTTTTTTATTGAGATTTTTGAAATGATTTAAACCTCCCTTAAGGTTTGATTTTTAATTACACTGACTTCACATAAGATAACCTCAATTGAGATTTAGGGTTGGTTTGACATGTTCTAAAAAAGTGTACTTTTTGACTTATTGGCTTATATGGGTTGGGTTTGGGTCAGGTTTGATGTGATGTGTTAGAGAGGTAATGTGATTGAAATAAGATGATGTGACTTAAATAGGATAGTGACTTTTTGACTTTTTAACTTTTTGTATTATTTAGTTTATGCCAAACTAACCCTTAGATTTAATGAAATGGTAGAAACCTATCATGAGGTTTCTAAAAAGGTATAAGCCTCTTATGAGATTTGTTTTTTATTAAAAATTTCCTCTTATGTTATTTTATCATAAAAATAAAATAAAATAATAGAAAATGTTGACAACATCAAATAATTTAATTACATTTTTAATTTTATCTTATAAAATTGTGTTAATTACAAAGAAATAAGAAAATACAATTTCGACTGCGATTTTGGATAAAAGAAGCATACGTAATCAACAGTAATTGTAGGGATAACAAAGAGAGAAGACATAAATTGAAACTGCAAGCATATTTTCTCTCTGTTATGCCCGTTGGTACTGTTGATTGTGTATGCTTTCTTTATCCAAAACCCCAATAGGAATATATATGTATATATATATATAAATTTGTAGTTGGACACAATGTAGAAAGGTAAAATTGAAATGTAATTAAACTATTTCATGATGTTAACATTTTCTAACATTTTTTTTTTAACGATGCAAAGGGTTTTGGATAAAAGAGGCACACACAATCAACAGTAATCATATGCATAATAAAGACAGAAAACAAAAATTGTAATTTTTTTATTTCTTTATAATTTGAAACAGTTTTAGAGAATAAACTTAAAATATAATTAAATTATTTTATTTTATGATGTCAATATTTTTTTTACGATAAAGTAATAAAAGAGCGAATATGCAACCTCAAAGGAGGTTTCTGTAATTTCAAAAATTTTATGGAAAATTTTTGTCATTTTAAAAACTTTATGGTGGATTTTTATAATTTCATTAAATTTCAGGGGGAGTCATTGTAAAACTAAACTTCAATGGAGATTTCTACATTTCATTAAACCTTAGAGGAGTTCATTATAATTGAAAACTGAACTACAAGGCAGTTTAAGTCATTTTGAAAATCTCAAGAAAAGTTTATGTAATTTCATTAGACATTAGCGAGTATAAGTATACTTCACCCTTGAAAATATATTAATTTCAGTAAAATGTGCATTAAATTCAATAAAAAGATATCTCATGTGTTTTAAATTTTATTTTATTTTTTATATTGTACACCAGGAACACTTGCTAACAAGGACTAATTATATTACTTTTCAGAGTTGGTTTGGTAATGGAAAACATAAATATAAAATTACCTAACCATCCTTGCTATTTTTCATATGTCAAGTTCTCTCTATTCTCTATCTATACATCTCTCTCGCACTTATCCTTTCTTTGATATAACACAACATCCACCACTATCTGACTGAGGCCAACCAACCATCCTTTCTCCCTCATCTAACATACATTTTCCATTTTCTAAACATCCTCTGGCACACCTCTTCCAACATTGCTAATACATACCCTTTTCTTTTTTTTTCCACAATGACTGTGTTGCTACCACCTACATTCTCTTCAATTGGGGCTACCACTAATTATCTCATCCTTTTTTCTCCTCTACAATCAGTGATACTGCCACCCATTTCTCTTTCTTTCAATCCCTGCTAGTGACACTAATACCACTAACCTCTCATTTCATCCTCTTCGACAACCTACATTACAACTATTCGTATCTCCTCTCTTTCAAAAGAGAAAAGTTAGGGATCATGAAAAAGATTATGAAATATTTATAATCCTTGGATTACCTTGATTAGTGTGTGGTGTTTTATTCTAAATATAATCCAAACGTTACAAAGCTTTCATGATTATTTTTATGAAAGGTTTTTCATGATATCTAGCATTACTGCTTTCAAAAATCATATGGGTGGTCTTTGTAATTGTCAAATACCTCAAGGGAGATCAATGTAATTAGCCCTGATAAATATTATTTATAAGATAATATATAATGAAAATTAGGCAATGTTTTCGAATTGGACTGAACTGAAGGATTAAATTGGTGACCCATTCCAACACCAATCTGAATTAGTCATTAAAACCGTTTGAAATAGAGAACCAACATTTTTTTTAAAAAACACTCGAACGGGTGGTTCAATCAGTAAGCCTACTAAAGCGTGGATATTGACTGGGCTATGTTTTTGTGTCTACCGAAGCTCAAATGGGCAGTTCAATTGGTAAGCCCAATACGTCTTACCTAAGGTGAAACAAATTGAGAAAACATTCAATTTTTTTAGACATTAATGCAAGATTAGAGCTCTCAAAACTATATATATTTGTATTTTAGTTGGATTAACCTATGTTTTGAAATCATGTTCGCCCCTGACGTTTAGAAATTCAATTAGATTCATAAGAAAAAAGAAAAGAAAATAATGCTAGAAGATCAAGGATTATAACTTAGATATTTATTGAAGATCATATTTTTTACATAAACAAA